TTAACCTAATTCTGGGCCAGTGGAATAGCCTGTACTTTTCAGACAAGGATTTCTATAAGCATCTGGACCAATGTTTCCCGTGGATTTGTGTTTCATGGTAATTCATGAACTCTGAATAACAACATTTCTGTGCCTGGGGTATGTGCCATCTTCTTTCCTCACCTCATCCTATAGCCTCAGTCAGTAGATTCTCAGGTGGCTAATGCAGACTGAGCTGATCCAGCTCCCCAAACCAAAGGAGTCCATCATTCTGTCAGAGGTAGCTGAAATTATCTAATAGCATCAAAAGTTATTGAGGAACATATATAAAATGTGATCACATAAATCACGTTTCCATAGGAACCGGCTAAAAATACATCTGTATGAACACTCAGTGTCTATCGTGATGAACTATTATGTAAGTAGGATTTTTTTCCTCAGTAAGAACATTGCAGATGCTTGTTAATAATTTGTGGCAAAATTTACAGACAAGTTTACAAGTCTTCATGTGTGCAATCAGCTGTGTGCTTATTACATTGTCTGCCTTCCCTCCTGCTGACTAAAATGAGAAATTAACAGAGCATCCTTTCTCAAGGATTAAAAACATCCAGAAGATTAAAAATAGCCTGAGGCTTAAAAACTTCCTCACCTGGTAAGACAAGCAGGATTCTGTACTAATAGTCATCTAACTATGAGTGTTGTATGTGAAAGGTGGCGAGGAAGGCTTGGAGGCCTGCACCTCATGGAAATTGTGCCATATTGCACCATGGCAACGTGTGAATATTTGTTATTTGCAAGAAATTAATCTCTGCAGAGCAGGAAATTGTCACCAAATAAATTATTCAAATTATAGATATTTATAAGATATAGAGATATATAAGATATAAAGATATTTATAAATATTATTAGGATCCAGATTTTTGTGGTGTGGTGATTTAGATTGTATGAGATGAGGCAGAGGAGGCATTTTTACCATGAGGTGATGTAATATCATACATCCTCCATGACTAAGTTGAATTTCTGTGTTTAACTGCTTTTGTCTTTGTTTTCAGAAGCCACTTAGAAATTGTTTATTGTGCCAACTAAAAGATGGGGCTATGAAAAAAACCACCTAAAATATCTGGCTTGAAGAGTTGCATAGAAGTGTCCGTCATGGACTTCTCAATATTATTCTGTGGCCTGTTATAATAATTTTTCTCAATTTCCAGAATTTATTTTCTAAATATATGGAAGCAGTTTTCATCCTGTTTGATTTTCTATTTCATTTTCCTTCAAAATAACATTAGGGTTAAACAGTAAGACTTAGTATCAGAGGTTTTGTTTTTGTTCTTTTTTACTCAATTTTTAACAATAATACAATCTAAGACTGTATATGTAATAATAAAATTCTAGAAGTGTGCATAAGGTTGTACCATGCATATTGTTCCAAAGAGGGAGGAGGAAAGAGTCCATATGTCCTCTGAACCTTAGAAAATAGCATGCCACTGGATAAATTCTGAATTGTGATTATTAGAAAATGATGAATAACTTACAGACCTGGAGTTAATCATCAAATATATTACTTAAATTAAAAATGAATTCAAGAATTCAACATTCTGTCGGTGGACAATTCATTGATAGAAAAGAAAAAAGGATGAAATTAATCAAATAAATAATTCATTGTAAATCATTTGGTTCTAATTATAACAAGGTGCTAAAAAATAGATCAGCTTCTCAAAGCATGGCAGAGTTCTGCTACGCATACATATCACCACAAATGCAGCTGTCCAAGTATAATCCCTGTTTTAATTGCTTTTGGTTCAGGACAATAGTCAGGTACAGGAGTGGTAACAAAAGCATTGACCTACCCCATTTATTAAAAGCTATTTTGTTTGCTTGCTTGCATGACAGAGCATCCTGAGCTAGTGCTTCTGCAACGTGAGAAAGACCAGCCTGGCCTTCCCAAATCCTCAAAGCAAAAACCTGCATAAAAGTGAGGTTTTATGACCTTCTCTCTCACTTACTGCCAGCTCAGAGGTCTGTTCCTCTCTTTTCTGTGGGGATATAGTTAATAAAAAAGTGAAGATTAGGCTTTTTCTGGCTCTCTTTTTGTCCCTCATGAAGAAGCTCTTGTTAATGTTCCTGCAGGACACTGGCTGTCCACAGCCTGCAGAGAGGATCCCTTTGCTGGCTGATGCAGGACTCTTGGCAGAAACACTGCTCAGCAACCCATGTGCTGCTGAGCTTTAGATGGAGGATGAGGGAGGGGCAGCATAGAAACAAAAGAGCCCTGTATGAACACGTTTGTTCTGAGGCCTCCAGAATGGTCAATCACCAGGCATTTCAGCTTCCTGAAGGTTTTGATAGCTCAGAGCTGGGTTTAGCAGGCCATACTAGTCCCACTGTGCTTCTGCCAGTGGATTGGATCAGAAGATCCTTGAGGTTCTTTCCAACATGATATTCCATTCTGTGATTCACTCCCCCATCCAACTGAGCGACCAGCAGCATTCAGAAGACTGTACCAGTCAATAGGCAGTAGCCACCATTTACCCCCTTTTTTTTAAAGCTTTTGCTAATCTTCCTCTCTATCAGTAGAATGAGGAAGTCTTCTTCCTTGAAATTTTTGTCGTGTTTTCAAAGCAAGTCAGGGTTGTATGGTACTCATTTGCAAGAGCTGTGTTACCAAGGACAAATCCAGTGCTATGCCCTGCACTCACAGAGCTCCTAGCTCAGTTGCCATTAAAAGAAGGGGTAGCAGCAGTTGCAGTGAGAAGATGACAGCATTTTTCATTAAATATCTGCATAGATTTTGAGCAAAGCAGCTTTTATTGCCTTAACAACTTTAGGACAGCTCTGGAACAAAGGCAGGAGAGAGATCTTGATTGCAAAAATAGCTGACATGTGAACGGGAGCATCCATTTAACTACTAATTGTGCTTTTTCTAGAAAGCTAAAAAGTCCCTGTCCTGTCAAAACGGGAGCGATAGTTGAAAATCTGACATGGTTCAGTGGGTTCAGTATTTTTAAATATTTGTGTAGTCTCTTGGATTTGTTACATCATAAATTCAGGCAGCAGCTGGTTGTCTGACCCTGTGACCGTGCTGCAAAAGTGTCCAGTCCTTTAGCCATGAGAAATTGCTGAAGATGCTAGTTTTCTCTGCAGCCAGATAATAAAGCAGAATGCACCTTGTGTGCAGTACCTGTAAGATGACTGAAAAGTAAAGTGGAAGAGCAAGATGAATATAAAGAGGGTTAAAGTTGTCTTTACATCATCTGTGCCATCATATCATATTAGCAAAAATAAAATCATTAGAATAATACAATCTCACAAATGTTTTTGCATCAGCATTTTGTCCTCTGAAACTATATTAGAAGCAGCTTTTTCACTGTCCTTGTAAAATCTGCAGTGGCAGAAAATTCGTTACCATTAATATACAAGAATTCTTCCCTTTTTTTCTCCTTAAATTTCATATCCCTGAATACTACACAATAACCCCCAATATGCTGGTGATGCTGGGATTTTTCTGATGTTAGATATTTTGAATGTATTCACAGTGTTTTTGACTTAGTGATATGGAAGCCATCAGCACTGCAGAACAGGGAAAAAAAAGAGACCAATAGCATTAGTCAGACTCAAAACACGACAAAATTCGGATTACCCCATGCTGAATACAAATGTGGTAGAAATGTTCAGAAACTGCAATCAAATAGCTTTGAATGTCAAATGAAATTACTTTGGGAGTCTTCTAAGCCCTCTTCTTACAGCACACTGGAACATAAATCCCCTACTTTCATTTGATTAGTCCAAAAGGCTATAGGATGTGTTATTAAATCTAGAAAACATGACCAGAGTCTTAGTCATTAGCATCACTGAACACACAAATTCCTTTAGGTCTTTATTTTTCTTGCTCTGTACTTTTTGAATGGAGCACAATCAGTGAACTTTTAAAATCAAAGTATACCCGAAACTCACTGAAAGTTATAAATAATTTATTTTTAAAAGAAAATGCTTTTGGGGGTTTTTCATCTGCTATATTTGAGTGTCACAGTAAAATAAATACATATTATGTTATGAGTGAATATTAGAAACTGTGAATAAAGATATTTTGTTCCTTGTAGATGATCTTTGGTTGACAAACTTCTCTGCAGTACAGGGGAGCTATAATCAGCTTTAGCAACAAAGCTTTGAAAGAATTAAGTCACAGAAATCTGCACTTAATGAATAGTCACAACACTTTGCTCATTTTGCTTTTTTTAAACCTGGGAAAATGATAACAGAAAGTGAAGACAACTATGCAAAAACATTGATATAAATAGTAATAACAAGACCTTCAATCCCAGAAAACACCTCAGTTAAGAAAGGATTTATGCTTGTGCCTTAGTTCTACTAAATTTAAGAATGAGCTTAGAACAAAAACATATAGTTAAATGCTCTCCTTACAGACCCTTGAGTCTGCAAGAAATCTCTGCTTTTCTCTCATGACTTCTTTTTGAAACAGGTTTAACTGATCATTATTGTGACTGCATTGGACCATGTGGCACAGTGTCTTGCACTTGGCAGACATACAAGATACGCCAGCCACAGAAGTACAGGGCAAGTATTTTGATCTCCTTGCTGGCAAACTCTGCCAGCCTCGAGTCGTTTGAGGTCCTCAGCTTGGCATGCTGTCTTGATGTTTAAGATTCTTTGGTGGATTTATTCATTCATTTTTCCCTGCACAAATTTTTTTCTGAGCAGCTTTTTTACAGATGTGCATTTTTAGCATTCCACAGGTTTGTTAACAAATTCTCCAGCTGAGCTATTCTTTCTTTGTTTTGAAGGTGCATTCCAAAAACTTTGTTTGATACCGACTAGTTCTTGTACTGTAAAGAAAAAAAAAAGAGTAATTGTATCCTGTTCTATTTATGCCTTTTCCAATGCCTCTAAATCTCCATTTTCATGATCTCTGTTTTTTCAGATTGAGGAGTCTCAGTGTGTTGTTCCTTGTTTGGAAGCTGTGCTAAAATTTGCACCTTTATTATGTTTCTTTGTGTTTCTTCTAGCTCAGCTGATGCTTTTCCTGAGATGAGTGGCTCTTAATTGAACACAGGAATTAAGATGTGAGCATAATGGTAATTTTTGTTTTATTCTCTATTTCTTTTCTTTCCTAATAATTCCTAACATTCTTGTTGCTTTTTTTGACAACTACTGAGCACCAAACTGGCATGTTCATGACACTATTGATTATAACCCCAACTTTTTAGAGAGTTCTGGAGTTCCAACCCATCTCTGTCCAGAGTGGTAATAGCTAGTTCAGAGCCCATCACCAGATCTTAAATATTAACGTTCTTCTTTTATTTTTCCTCTTGTAACTTATTTTTCATTGGTGTTTTTACACCTGACACAGAAGGTGATAGTGACCCCTTTGCTCCTTTTTTTTAATTGTACAAACATTAGCCCAGAGTTTGAACAGAGTTAAAGGAACGCTGCCCTTGAGGACTGCAGTGGAACCATGGCCCTTTGCATTGACAGAGGAGCTCTCTACTGTTTGGAGTCCCTTTAATTTCTTGTCTAAACAAATAGTTTGAATGACATGTGGCATAAAAGATAATCAAATACAAGATGGAAAACCTGGTCTGTGTGATGTTAAAAAGGCCAAGGTATCTTGGTAGATCACATATTGCCTCATGATTCTCACTGTGTGATGCCCCTTTTGGTTGCTGTATTGTCACTGACTGAATTTTATACCTTTGTGGGATGCAGCTTTATATCAGATGATGCTGTGGAAGCAAGTGGCTTGAACATTAGCTTTGGGGTCAAACTCTGCAGTTGTTGGTCATATAAACATAAAGGAATGCACCTTCTTGAACAAGTCTCCAGGGCATGTGTTTTCTTGACACACATTCCTAAAGGTCCCTCTTAAAGACCTACCTCTGTGTGGATGTCTTACAGAAGTCTGATGTTGTTATAGTAAGGGTGTAATTTCTTTACTGTTTTGCACATGGATTCTTTATTGAGGAAGATTATTTTTGGTTTAACATATTTCATTTACATCTGCATCTTTGTTGAGGCTGTGACTACAACAACAATAACAAGCCATTGATTCTATGGAGTGGTTAAATAAATGTGAGTGATGGGGTCTTTCCACAAATACTTTTTATTTGGTGGAAAAGTAGTCCATATTTCCAGGAGTGAGAAATTATCTAGTCTCAGCAAAGGATACTATTATTATTCCTAGCTGCAATACAAACAATATTTTATTCAACACTCTTTTTATGTTTGAAAATAAATATTAAGATGAAAAGGAAAGATAATAGCATCCAGACGTGGGCCTGGTTCTGTCTAAAGATGCTACTGATTCTTTTATTTCAATTTATTTGCACTCAGAACACAGGTCCTGTTTGTGGAAAACGATAAAGTTAGCACTTTTCCCTCCAACCAAGATTTTTGTGTATGTTGCAATTAGGGCAACAGATTGTCTCCAGTTTTAGAAAATTTTTTGTTTAAAGTTACAAGTTTGTATATACCTCTACAATATTTGACAACTGCTTGAACATACAGATACCTGTTTCAACACTGTGACAATAGCAGAATTATTTTTTTTTTAAAACATGTCAGTGCAATAAGATGACATTAATTCTGATTTGCCAGTAACAGAGATTTTAAACTCAAGGATTTTCTGATTTATTTGAAGGCCATTTTCTCTAGGCCATACCAGTTACTTCTAAAACCGGTGGTATTTCTGTAAGGTGAAAACTTTATTCACTAATCTGCTCAGCCCCTTTTCTCTTACTCCCTCCACTTCAGGCCTTTCAAAGTTAAGACTTCATTGTTCCCTGCTATTTATTTACTGATTAGTGAAAGATATTTGGTCTCAAGAAGTCATACACTCCAAAATACAAGGTGACCTTTGTCTTAGTGTCTGAGCCTGTGTAAACATGCTATAAAGCCCTCAACTACCTACTCCTTTCCAAGCATGCTAGGTGTGCTTCCAGGCAATACAGCTTAGATCCCATTAAGTCCATCCACAGGCCAAATGATTTTCCAGTCCTTACATCAATTTTTACCCTGAAGGGCATACACAATGCTGTGCAAAGCCACAAAATAGAAGAGGATTTTTCACAGTCATAACCATGTTATGACCATAAGATGCAGCGTTTCCTTTATGTTTTCTATATAAACTGTTTTATGTTGTGATTCCTGTGCTGTTAGTGAGTGGTAACCTGATGGTGTTCTCTGTAAATTACTATGAATAATTTCATTTTTTTACCTTGTCTCCAAGTTCCTGGAATTGTTTATTTCTCCTGATTTTTTATGGCGATTTCAGGAATTCCATCCAAAATGTGTTGGTTCCTCATAGTTGTGATGAAAAGATGATTTTTTTTTTTCTCTTTGTAACCTTTAGCATTTTGCATTGCTCTTGTAGTCATGAACATCTCATGCATAGTTCCACTTGCTTGCAGATCCTTTTTCTTTTAAAAAAAAATCTCTCTTTTACTAGAATCTTTTTTGAACAGCAAGGAAGACCTGGATAACATCATGGGAAAAGACAAAGGCAAGCAGAGAAATGTCAGAGATAAGTACAGTTCTGAAAAGGTTCTAGAAGCAAAGTTGGGAGCCAAGGTCATTTGTGATGTCAGGGAGAAAATATATTTTCTCGTACATGAGTTTGGCATTTTATGATTATTAGAGGATAATCCTGTTCAGGACTTGAGTCTTGGATTCTTTTTTACTTGCCTTGTAGTATTCTGCAGCATCTTGGTGCTCCAGAGCAAGCACTCTCTGGCCAAGTCTTAAAGGAGAGTCTCATGAGATACAGATTTTTTGAGTCTGGAGGCAGGGCTAGTTCAGACACTTTGCTAAGTCTGAATCTTTGTTGAACTGTTTGGATGGAAACAGTTAATTTAGTTAGTTTCCAAACTCTGTAATGGTCTTCCCCTTTGCTCTGTTTAGTTTGCAAGTTTTTGAGGCTAGTCTACGTGTGTGTAGCAAGTGGTACAGAGAGCTGTAGTGTCATGGATTCTGTTCTTCATATTGACTTTAAGTTATCATAGCATCAGAGAATATATTGAGTTGGAAGGCACTCTCAAGGATCATCAAGTATAATTCCTGGTCTTGCCCACAGCATGTACTTGGGAGCATTGCCAAATGCTTATGGAACTCTGTCAAGCCTGGTGCTGTGATGACTTCCCTGGGGAACCTGTTTCAGTGCCCAGTCACTTTCTGGGGAAGCACCTTTTCCTAACACACAACTTAAACCTCCCCTGGCTCAGCTTCATCCTATTTCCTCAGGTTCTGTCACTGGTCATGAGAGCGAGGAGATCAGTACCTGCCCCTTCACTTCCCCTCACAAGGCAATTGTAGTCTGCTGCAAGATTTCCCCTCAGTCTCCTCTTCTCCAGGCTGAACAGATTAAATGACCTCAGCTTCCCCTCAAGGCCCTTCACCATCCTAATGACCCTGTTTTGGATTCCCTCTAATAGCTTAATTTCTATTTTTGTAACGTGGTCCCCAAAACTGCACACAGTTGTCCTTAAAAGGCTCATTAAATGAAACTTGGCTTATATAAAGGGAGAATAGAAGTCTGTGTAGCTTCCAATGGTTATAATGTATCTCCAAGTGAAAGGCTTAGTCCTAGTGAATGGGATTTTTTGCTGCTGTAACTTTCGTCCTTTTTCTGAGGACTTTCTTTTCCTTCTTTAATTTTTTGACAATTTAGGGAAGGCTTTCAGTAGAAGACGAAAATTCTTTTCTCTGCTCTAGGTGAAGAATCCTGGACCCATGTGCTCATAAATTTTGTCTGATGATACCCAGATATATGTTTAAGGCTATTAAAAAGAATAATTCAAATAACAGAATTGCTCAGTAATAGAATGCATTTTACTCTTGTGCCCCAAGTATACTTCTCCCAGCAATGGAGAGAGGAAAGTGTTTAGGTCCCACCACAGGTTCATTTTATTCTTTTAGCTAAAAATTCACCAGCCCTATTTCAGTTATATCAGTGTTGACTAGAATGGTCGCCTCCATAAAGCCAAATATTCAGCTTTTCAAAATTTTATAGTGCTTCAGGTATATTCACTGGTTAAGCTTCTCAAGATTCCTATGATGGTGATGAGTTGGTATATATTGCAAATTAATAGCTAAGGAAGTTAATAACTCAGTCAAACAGCTTTTTTATTTAAGCTTTAGTCCTTTGACTTCTAATTACATGCTGTAGCAGCCACACTATGCTTCCCTGTTAGGGAAAGTTCTTTAATGAAGAGCTTTATTCCAGGAAATATCTTGTTCCCCTCCTGCTGATCAAGAGAGCTCTGCTGGATGGATTTCTGTATCAGTGTGGTAAAAATGATGGATTCTAATTTGAGACAAACTTTGGAAGGCACACTTGAAGTTTGATTGGCAGAAGGAAAGGATTTGGGTACGTGTGGCATTAAATAAGGGCAGCAGTTGGTTAAAGTGTATGAAGCACTGTTAGCCATTTACTAAAGACTTACTCATGAAACAAGAAGATATGTCAGTAGCAGCACCTGGGTAATCTTTCCTCTTGCTCCCCCTCAAATCCAGGATTGGATATATTCAGCAGCCTTTTAGCTCTGTCTTCTGCAGAAGATAATCTGCAGCCATGGGTTTCTTTCTATGTGAGGAAGGATTTGAGTTACGGAAAAGGAAATTCTGTCAGTAGATCTGAGAGGGGCAAGTGTGCAATATTAAGCCATCTGGTTTAGCTCTTGGAATGATTCAAAGAAGATTTAAGATTATTCTAATATTTTCCAGGTCAACACTGGCTCCAAGCAGCTGCTCCAGCAGCTGGAGATCTATGGTTGTGAGCTGCTGCTGACATTTGCCTACATCACCTCCACAGGGAGGAAGAACAATATGGAGTTGGTATTTGTGACTTTGTGGCGCATGAATTCCCTATGCAAGGAGAATCTTCTGCTTGTCAGCCAGTGTGGCTTTATGGCTCCTTTGGGCTGCTGCAGAGATGTACATTAGAATCAAGACCTGTGCTGAAATAAAACAGGAGATGGCTGCTGCTCCTTGTAAGGACACAGCTAATTCTTTTTACCCATTTCCATCCCTGCTTGAACTCAAGGACTTTACCAGGTCAGCTCCACATTTTGCACCCTCTGAAAAGATACGTGGCTGAGAAAAATTTCCAGGCTTTCTTCCAAGAAGCTTGCAGCATCTGTGAAATTGTGTATGAGTGCTCAAATAGGATTTTCTCCACTGTTCCTTGTAAAAGGCAGTGGATGTGAGACCTGTGTTGATACAGATGTTTTTACTGGCTAGTGATGGCGGGCAGGACCTGGGTCAGAAAGGCAAAGACCCGTACAGTTTCCTTGATGCCCAGACCCAAACTTTTTCTCCAGGGCCAGATGCATCAGACACTAAATCAAAATTTGAATACTTGCATGTCTGCTTTTCTCTCAGAATGCTGACAGGACATTTTCTGATCTCAGTGTTGTTGCAGCTTATGTGACACAAATTCTTACTCTCTGCTACAGGGCAATGTGTCTCAGGGGACCCATTTCATATTAAAATACTGGCTCTCAGTAACCTTGGTATAAATCTAGAATAAATTTTATATTGTCAACAGCAATTATACATGTCATTAAGGGCACTAGTTATAGATACAGGTCCTGCCCAAAAGTTGATTTAATGATGATTAGAATGTTTCTCTGACTACCTGGTACAGGTATTTCCCATCTGCTTAATTTTTTGTGTGGGCTCATTCTTTCCTTTGGATGTTTTCATTCTGTGGTGCAAAACCAAACTTGTGTAAGAGTGCTGAGTAGGACCTGGCCATGCCCATTTCCATCCATTTTCTTGTATTTGAGCAGACTCCTACTGAGTCCATCAATAGCTGTGACTTTCAGCATTTTGTTTCTTCATCTGACTACATTCACATGGGTGGCATATGTTTGGCACATGAATGCTGCTTTGGATGGCTCTTATTTTACCTATAGATCAGGAATAAATTTTTCTAGTCTCTCAAACTCCACTTTTTGTCCAATTAATTTGAAAACAAACAGTCCTTAAATGAAGAATGGCCACCAAAAATGAACAACAAAAAACTTAGAGCAAAACAAGACTACATTAAAAATGTAATAAGTACAAACTAATCTGAAACTCTGTTTTGGTTTTGCAGATGCTGTGATAACCCTCCTGATTTTTATGTCAGCCAAGGTTACTACCAAGCTGCAGGAGCTCACTGAATAAACCACTGAACACTGGGAATTCTCCCACTATATCACAATTGCAGAAGCAGAGGTGCTAGGTAAGTTTATGCCAGTCCTATGGGAACATTTAAAAAAAGTTTAATAGCCCTTAAAATTTCTCATTTCTAACCTCTCATAGGTTTACCTCATCATGACAGCTCATTTTGCTGTGTTATAAAAGCAGATAGAAAATTAGATTTCTGGCTCGAGATCTCACTAAAACCATCATTCCTGTTTAAGTCAGCAATAGCCACATAACATTTATGCCTGGATAGTAATTTCTTTCTGCATCTATTCCATCAACAGAGCAACACATTGCATGGCTTGAAATGCTTCTGGTCTAATTAGAAGAGCTTACAAAATTCTGTGTAAAGATTATCTGAAAAGATCACTGGAAATAATAAATAAGAGGAGTCCAATTTCCCATTCTGTGTGTCTCAGAAATGAGAAAAGGATCTTTAAAATATGGATTCTGTTGATAAGATCATTAAATAGCTGCAATGATTATACAGGCTTTGAACTCCAATGAGGAACTTCTGCTGTGATTCACAGGAAAAGGGGTTTTTAACTGTCTGATACACTTCCAGTCTAGTAGCTCCAAGTATCTGGAACCTGTCCAAGTGCACCTGAGCACAGCACTTGTTATGTATGCTGTTATGGGAAAGAGGTTAACAATGCACATAACTTTAAGTACATTAATTATCCCCCCTTTTCAGAGAGCATTACTCAATTGAGGGAAGTGTCCTTGAAATGAAGGACATTCATCTAAGCCTTGTTGGATCAGAAGTACCCAATATATTATAGGATTGCATTTGTGAAAAAAGGACTCATAGTTTTTTTACATACATGACTGAAAACACAAATGCTTATTAGTTGATTCAGTAGTCAGTGGTGAAATTTGGAAACTAGCCTATAAAATCATCCCTGTTGGGATGATAAACAGCTATTAAAAACTGAATTAGTTATGGGTTCAATATAGCTCCAGAGGAAGGTTAAAAATCTGGCTAAAGATTTTAATATCTGCCTTCTGAATAGTTTGACAAATCAAAAGAAAGGCCAGCTGCTGGGAAGCTGCATTCAGAAAGTGCATTTTTATTTTTAAAAATTGAATGCATTGTCTAATAGGTCAGCAAATTAAGCTGATAAATGGGTTTACTTCCCTGTGATTATTTTTCCCACTTTGTTCTGTACCTCTTGGATGGCTCCTGTCCAACTGAAGCAAAATGCACAAGCAGAACAGGGAGGCTGGGAAAAGGCAGAGATCATTTTAGGATGAACAGAGCTCTGCTCCATATGAGCCCCAATTTGGGGCATAAACGGAATGTACTGTTACAGAAGGGTTGGTTTTGGTTTCATATTTTTGGTGGGGTAGAAGAAGAGTTTCAGGTCAGTTGTGTCTCCGCAAAGCCTCTGTTGCTACTCTGTAGATGGCCTTTAGTAGTTTTCAAAACACCAATGGGGCTTTGCACTCAACCTCCTAGAGTGGACGAGCCACCCTTTAAATCATGTCAGAAACTGAGTCCCCATGACTGTAGCTGTGGTTGATGACATGGTTGTCTGGTTAGGTTTAAAAACAGGTCATTAAGCCTTCCTTCTATAAGGAGACATGGTCTGGTACAAATCTCTGCTGACCTGGGGTGCTAGGGCCTACCTGAAGTTCTGGATGTACTTAGAAATCTGCCCTTCTGCATTCAATCTGATGAATACAAAAATATAACACACAGTTTGTACTGTTGGCTTGGGTGTTTTATACTTGCAGAGGACAAAAACTGAAGGGAAAATTTCATGAGGTCCTTTAAATACCATCCTCTCACATAATTTCATAAATTCTCACCACATTTCTCTGAGAGTGCAAGTTAAAGACATATCTTTGGCCTTGTATCCTGTTCCTGATGATGTACTGGTTGACTGGGTGACCTATAAAAGTCCTTCCAACCACAACTGTTCTATGATGTTCTGGAGTGACATCTGCATAGAAAATAGCCTTTAACCTTAATTGAACAGAATCACAATTAACCAAGAGTTAAAATTCAGCCCCATTTAGACCAAAGAGAAATCAAAACTGGACAAGATGGAGGAAACAGTGCTGAAGAGACATTAGAGTTCTTTGAACATGTCTCTTGGCTATTTTAAGTCCTTAATTTTCTTTTCCAGTGTGGGCTCTGGGTAGATCTGGTGGTGATCTGGTTGAGGTACTGGTTGCACACAGTTTGTGGGAAGAGACAGTTTTGGATGGGAAGCTCCTCCCACTCAAATTCTGCGCTGGTGTATCTCTGCCAGCTTTAGCATGGTTTCTGTGAAAAATCTCTGCCTTGTCTCACATTTTCTCTTCCTCTGCTATCTTTTGAAATCTGAGATCTGTGTGTTTTAAGATTTTGTTTAATCTGTGTCTTTTTCTATTCCATTAGTTACTGCACCCAAAGCATAGCCAGCAGTGGGAAATGCTTTTCACTTCCATTTATTTCATGACTCATCTGAGAATGAGTGGGTTCATGGCCAATGCAAGTATCCTGCTTGAGAAAAAAGGCCTAAGTCTTGTTCAGTGCTGAAGTGAAAAGTGTCCATCCAGGATATAACCAGCTCTCACTGCTACTGCTCTAAGTCAGAGTATTCTTGGTGCCAAAGAAATTGAGAAATTGTTTCTTGCTTCTGAAACGTAAATGAAAATGAAAGCAATTTACTCCCAGGGTGATTCATAATACCAAAGGCCTTTCTGGCCATAAGTCAGGCTGAAAAAGAAAACTTATGTGGTGCTCTTGGGTAAAGAAACTACATGGTCATTGCAAGCAAAAATGAGACTGAACCCCCCTTCACTGAAAGTTTTTAAGGAATATCAAGCTCTTCTCACAAAATCTTCCAAGCTATAAACATAGCTTGGAAACATATAAACAGCTTCTCAGCCATTATCTGCTTAGATTAATACTCATACATTTGAAGATTCAGCATGTGTAACTGAAGATCATGTAAGATAAATCTTTCTAGAATTGCTATAATCAGGTGATGTATTGACAGTCATGAATTGAATAATTTGTAACAAGATTTTTTTGTCTGTTTGTTTCTTTGTTTTTTGGAGCCAAAGTGCTTCCATTCTTGCTATGGTGTTTTATTTTCTGGTAACAAGCATATTTTTTTGCAGGATTAAAGTCTCAGTTTCACCTGTTTGATTTATACCATGACTTTATCAGGTTACTTCGGGTACTGATAGCAGTATTTATAATTCAGCTGGTTCAGAAATAAGGGCTGAAAAAGCTGCATACAATGGAAAAGGATATTGTTTCTGAGCTCTTAAACATCCACAGATTTCAGAACACCAGCTAAGTCCAGTAACTGATATTTGAGTTGGGAATGAAAAAGAGGAAATGGGAGGGAGATATTATAAAGAGCAATGCATAGAGGAATGGAACTGGAAGGGTCATATATGCCAGAAAGAGGATCACGTTGCACCCTAAAACTAGAAGGAGATTTTGTTCCTTTTTGAGTTTGTTTTACTACTTTCTGACAGGAATAGAGCTCTTCTGCCCATCTTCTCTTCTGACCTCTGTCTTATTCTGTGATCATGACAAAGTGATGATTTTCAGTGCATGTATCAACCTTTAGATCTTCACTTTTCCTAGAAGGTATTTATTCTCTGTTATGCTTGTGGACAGCATTCACAGCTCTTGAAGCCTTTGTTTCACTTCTGTTTGCATCCTTTTGGAAGATGAAACTGTTAATTTCCTTAATTATCCTGATTACCTGCTTGTGATTCAAATGTTTTTCTGTTTAAATAAGACTGCCTGGAAGTGTAATGCAGTTGGTACCTCTGTGACACCTATGAGCTCTGTAACAGCATTAATACTTCCCTGTTTCTACCAGAAACATTTTTTACCTGATAGCAACAAGGGCTGTATTTACACTTTCCATCATGGCTCAGTCATCCTGTCTTCCATGAATAACCCTCAGGCCTTTTTCCCTGTCTGTCATCACTGACTAATGAGTTCTCAGCTCAGACAAAAGCTTCTTGTTTCTAGTCTGTAAGTGCAAGCTGATGCCACTTTTGTACTAGGCAATTTGATTCCATTTCCACTGCTCCTGCTCTTGAACGCCTCAGGTCCTGCGCACGCAATATGCTAATGGTCATCTTAACCAATGACATCCCTCAGCAAATGTCATAGCTCCATCCCACTTCTAACCAACGTTGTTACACATATGAAGATGTGAGATGCGAATGATTCACGCTGATCTTTCAGCTACAGCCATGGTCAGCTCCATTTTGCCCAAGAACTTCCATTTAAAATCCATACCGCTGTATTTCTTCCACCAATCTCTGCCTTTTCCTGCTTAATAAATATTTTACCACATGACATTTCATCAAATGCTTTTCTCATGTTAAGTTGATGAAGGCCCTGCATTTATTTCATCTGTAAAGTCACATATAAAAGAAAACTGGTAATTTTATTTTGTGTTGTCATCCAAAACGTGCCCCTGATCATTAACTCTTCCATGGGCTCTTTTTCCTTTGCTGCTGCTAATGGCAGTCTATGTAGACCTAAATGTCTTCTGGCAAGACAACTCACCCATTCATTCAAAAAATCCTGTGCTAATTTTGTGATGTCTTTTTGTCATCTTTAAAAACTTGTGTTCTTTCTTTGTATAATCTGATGAAGGTATGCCATCAAATCCAGGTTGTGGGAAGACTAGAAGTCATGATCCTTTACAATAGAAATGCCTTAGGAAATAAAAGTCAAGTTCTCTCATTCTTCAAAGTTTAAGGCTTATTTGGGCTGCCACATTATTGTTTTCTACTATTGCCACATGGATATTTTTCTGCACCAAAGTGCCTCAGACAGCTAGAAGGACAATAGCTAATTATCCAGCTAAAAGACACCCAGTTGAGAAATAAATGAATTTTTTTTCTTTGGTTCTTTTTTGTCTTCTGATAAATTTTCAAGTGAAACGTGGAGGCAGAAGAGTAAGTTTGAAATAGCATCTGCCCAGGCTGTGCTTGGTTTTATCTAGGGCTCTACACACCAGCCCTTCTGAGCTTCTAAATTCATTCTTTATTGCGAAAGAATGAATT